CTCAATTGCTTTGTTATTTCCTCCCGTACTTTGAATCATATATCAACTCTCATGGCGAACGGGCTCGAGTCGCACAAAGAAGAGGTGGACGGTCTGTCCCCCATACTGCAAATGACTATAGTGGCCCAACAATGCTAACGCCACCGTAGAAGTTCGTACCGATCCGGAGGAATTCGACTCCCAATCATCTCGCTCGTCCGACACGGACGACCAGTCTTCGCTCGACCGCAAAAGGTCGCAGCCTAAAGAACGACCCCAATACAAACGACCCTCAGCCTCACGGCAGGCTACTGCACGAACCCAACGTACCGGAGAATTCAGAGACGATGTCTCTCGGTCCAAGACTCAGGGGAGTCAGCCTCCCGGAGGGTTCTCTTTAGCAGGCTCCAGTGCCTTCTGGGGCGCGCCGCCATCCTACGGACCCTACATTCACCCAGAGTACCACTCCCTCAACCCTCAATACGGCAAAGACGAACCTGGGAAGCCAGTTTGGAGTCTCGCCCAACCACTACCACACGTGGTGCGCGATGGTATGCGCTACGGGGCCTTGCCAGAGGATCGCAAAGAGGAAGAGCAGGAGAATGGACGGGCACGCCCTCCCCCCGCGGCTGAGGAACCCCCGACCGGGATTCCTCAGACCGAAGAATCCCAGCAAGAAGGCGAAGACCCGGACCATGATGGGTTCTTCAATATTTGGTCGAAAATCCGCTTCTACGCAAAAGAGCCATTTGCAGAGTGGCTAGGAGTGAGTCTTGCCCATTCCATTACTCCTTATACTCGAATCGAAGGAGGGGCAGCGACGCTGACCCTTACACTTACATTCTTAGACAAGTGTAGCTATCACCCTCGGTCTCTGTGCGGGCTTGTCGCACTACACCTCCCAAGGACAGGCGGGCACCTATGTCTCGCAGTGCGCCGCTTGGGGGTTCGCGTTCATGATCGGCATCTACATGGCCGGTGGTGTCTCCGGTGCCCATCTCAACCCCGCAATCACCATCTCGCTGTCCGTGTGGCGTGGCTTCCCAGCGAGAAAATGCACCCTGTATGTCCTCGCCCAGGTCCTCGGGGCCATCACGGCCGGCGGACTCGCCTACGCCATCTACCACGACGCGATCGTCGATCTCTCCGTCAAATCCCAAGTGCCGCAGGCGCAAACGACCGCCAGCGAGGCCCTGCTGACCGGACCCAAGACGTTCGTGACGCCGGCGACCGCCTTCTTCGACGAGTTTCTCGGCAGCGCCATCCTGGTCGGCATCATCCTGGCGCTGGGCGACGACGCCAACGCCCCGCCCGGAGCCGGTATGCAGGCGTTTATCATCGGCATCGTGATCACGGTGCTGCTGCTGGCGTTAGGCTACAACACCGGCGGGTAAGTTATCCTGAAACTCTTTTCCGCCAGTTAGATAGTATACTAATTAATATTCATTGCAATATAGATGCTTCAACGCGCCCCGCGACTTCGGCCCCCGCCTGACCGTTCTCATGGCCGGCTGGGGCGGCCAGGTTTTCACGGAAAACAACGTCTGGTGGGTGTGGGGCCCCTGGGTGGCCGACATCTTCGGCGGGCTGTTCGGTGCCATGGTCTACGATCTCGCCATCTTCACCGGTGGCGAGAGTCCCGTTAACTATCCCCCGCGCCGCCGCAAGCGCGCCCTGCTCATCAAGGAGAAGAACCTGCGCAGTAAGCTGCGGATCGGCCGGCACAAGATCAAGGATCTGGAGAAGGCGGTCGAGGAGAACCAGGATTGAGGAATAGATGAACCTCACTTGTTGATTGAAAAATTCTCTTTGCATTCTTTTTGTCTTTTTTGTGGGGTTGAAAAGGATTCATGAGCCTAAAGCATATACACGAGCGCTGGCGTTGTTGGAGCTTTTACGTTTTGTCTTGTTGCGAGCTTCCTCAGAGCTTGTTTCTTATTTAAAATGAGAGATGGACCGTTACAGGTTTATGATGAACAACAAATCAATGAGCAATTCCCGGTACATAAATTATTGTCTTGCCATGTTGTAGCAAAGAGAGGCAAGAGGAGAAATGCAGGGGAGTATGTTTCGCCTGAGGGCGGTGAGATTCTGGATGTATATTTTCGATGACGCACATTTGTTTTAAAAATAGAACTAAGTTTGATACATGGAGGTATCTGACTACATAACTTACCTATCAGTTAACTCATTCTCTACGCCCTTCCTGGAAGGCACAACGCGGTCGATCATGGAAGGTGCCCGCGCTGGCGCAGGAGGTCGACCACCTCATCGAAGTAGATGCTCACCGACTGGTTCCTGAGTACCCACCGGGGAAAGGTTTCCCCTGTAAACCAAAACCCAACGTGGACTCGGGGGTTGAACTTGCCGATAAAGAGGCGGGCCATGTTGCGGAAGCGCGCGCCCAGGGCGACCATAGCGTCGTCCATCCCAACCAACCAATTGGTGCCGGGGACCGTTTGATTGGCCCGGTCTTCCACGAAGGCGACCATTTCCGCGAAGGGGCTGGGGTATGGGGCATTCTGGGGGGCGTTGGCCCAGCGAAAGGGCATGGGACCGTGGCGGCGCCGGTACAGATCAGTTCGGTTCAGCAGCTTGTCGATGGCCCAGCTGGCTCCCATGCGCACGGCGAAGGTCAGCGGCGTGAACACGCGCTGGCCGTCGGGCTGCTCGACGAATGCGCGGTTCAGGTCGAACCCGGGCTGCTTGAGCAGCGTGTCGAAGGTGAACTGGTGGCCGAACACGACGGCCCAGGCGATCGGCGGGATCGCGTACCGCGGGCTGTCGGGGTCGAGGCCGGCGATGGGGTCGTTGAGGAGCTGATCGCACCGGTGGGCATAGTTCGCGTCTGTCGCCGCGGTGTGGGTCCACTGCGCTTGCGCCTGCCCCAGCACCAGGTCGATCATCAGCCGGCAGACCGCCGTGGCCCAGTCGCCACGGATCGCCCGCCGCAGCAGGTACTCGCCCGCGTTGTCGCCCCAGATCGCCACCAGCTCTGGTGGCATCTTGAGCTGCACCGGCTTGTGCACGATGTCTGCGTCGCTAGCCAGCAGGTCGACTCCGATCGTGGTGACCAGGTACTTCAGCATCGCGCCGCTGGTCGTCTGCCTCACGCACAGGTTTTCCACGCGCTGCCACTCCAGGACGTCCGGATTGCCGCCGCCGACGAGCTCCAGCAGCAGCCAGATGAGCTGCTTGTCCTTCAAGGCGAGCGCCAGCTCGAGCGGCCCGTAGTACTCGCGCCCGATCCAGTTGACCCGCTGGTCGGCGAGCGGCTTGGCAGTCCCGGGGAACCGCTCCTCCCGCTCGAAGAGGTACCGAATCACCTCGTGGGCCCGGGCCAGTATCGCCGTGCCCAGCAGAGTGTATCCCCAGTAGACGGGCCGGTGGGCTTCCAGGCCCAACGCGACGGCCAGCTGGATCTCGTAAACCGAGTCGTGGGCGATGGCGCGGTGCACCACGTTGGGGAAAGCGACCTGCGGTGAGGCGGCTGGGCCCGACCCAGGGCCTATGGGAGCCAGCTGGTGCCCAGCATAGCAGCAGAACTGGAGCAGCTTCCCGTCGGGGGAGACCTGGTAGTTCCGAAAGCCGTCAGCCAGTACCGCGCAGAAGCTTCGTTGGATCATGGACTGCAGGGTTCGCGCCCCGACGGCGGGGTCGTTCACCGGCCGCAGCATTCGCTCTAGGTGGGACATGTCCAGCTCCGCTTCTTTCCACAGGGCCATCAAACTAGAGATCAGGTTCGACCCGTTGAGAATTTGGATGTCCTCCGGGTCGGGAAGCGCTGGCATGGGCCGTTTACGTAGCTGCGTGAACTCCTTGGCCAAATTGGCAGGCGACCTCATATACCCACACAGGCCGCACCACTGGGCGGCTTCGACTTGGTCGATGTTATCCATGGTTGATGGTCCGGTTCGGTGTTTGGGATAGTCTGGTTTGATGAGTGTTGATTGTTCCAGCAAGGTGTATGACTTGAGAGCTGAGGGTGTGTTGGGCTATAGTCACATCTGATCATGTCGCCTCTTATATATGTGCGTTGCTGTGATTCTGATTCCCTGGTGTCACTGACACGATGAGTCTGTACCATGGTACATTCACTTCAGATAAACAATCATGGCGAGGATACTCATCGATTTGTGAATATCGCCTTAAGAATCCCCGGACTCGTTGACCAGATCCTGATCAAACGGATGTCTCCTCCAAGTATCAGAGCAATGGCCAGACCGATGTATGAATCTTTTCTGAGCGCCCATTGTCACGTCTTATACTCGAACCATCCTGGAGATCTTCGGCGAAGGATTCTGGGGCTCTCGTGGGTCACGAATAGAGGTGGTGCCTCACCATAGCAGCAACCTGATATAACCCTTCTCCGTCAGGGAAGCTTGATCGAGAGAGCCCTAACTGGTCCGAAGCTAGTTTATAGAACAAAATTTGGAGAGTAAGTGTGAGATCGTATAGTATTTGTGGAAAGGCGATTCTGTCGCATAATTATCAAATTGAGGTTTTCCAAGTCCGATGTATAAGAGGAGAGTGGTCGCCTAAGCAGGCATGTATTCTGTTCGAAGTCCATAAGCACTAAATGTGATTTGATGAAGGATATTCCAGTTTTCGACCAGATAAATGAAGATCTAGGCGGACTGTATGAGCCCGGCGGTTTTGCCATGGATTGACGCTGATTCGGCTCCTTCATGGCCTTCACAATGCAGAGACAGCGTGAGCGCAGCCCACCTTTGCCCATCCAGGGCCTACATCATCGTTGATGTCTTTAGCTTATATTGTGACCATGATGAGTTAGCTCTTGAAGGTTAAAAGTTTCAATCGAGTCTTGCTTACCCAGTATCCCCCAGGACCCGAATCAGCTAAAGTCCCAAAACACAACCATGAAAGCCGAAACTACCACATCTTGCATGGATCATTCGCAGAGAGGCAAAGGGAAGAGAAAACCAAAGCGAAAAAAAGTAAAAACAAAAACAAATCTCGAATCATAGTGATAATGTATATTATATTATTCCAATGAAGGTCAACGACTAAACCCTCTCGAAGCAACCAAGCCAGAGCTTCAAACCTCACTCAGCGGAAAATCCTTCTCCTCCAGCACTTCTTGCAAGAGTTGAACCAACCTCTCCAGCACGGGTTCGGTCTTCACCTCCTCCAGCACCGTCTTGACCTCCTCCTCGTCCTCGACGTCCTCCTCCCACTTGAGTCGGGGATTTGCCCCGTTCATCAACAACAACCTGGCCACATCCAGCACCCTGTTAACATGCGCCTCCAACTCTGCGAGATCATACCGCTCGACGCAGGGCCGGCGATGCGCATCGACAATGGCATAGAAGGGCGGCTTGACCGGCCTTGCGTCTTTATCATCGCGCTCGTTCCCGTTCGCGCAGCCGGCCTCGAACAAGGCCTCGACGGCTTGGATGTCCAACCGCTGCACCGCGAAGTACAGCGCCGACATGCCGAGCGGGTTGACGACATCAAGCTCTGCAGTTTGCGAGTCGGCCAAGTAGCGGACAGCGGCGTAGTTGCCGGCGCGCGCGGCGTCCATCAGCGGGGTGGTGCCGTACCAGGACCGCGCGTTGAGGAAGCGGCGGCGCGGGCGCATGTCTCCCGGTGGGAGCATGCTGAGTAAGCATTGAAGCATCCGCGCGCCGGCGGCGGTGTTGCGCGTGGCGTAATGAAGCAGGATGTGCGCGATGGGCATCAGGCCTCCGTACTCGACGATTGCCGCGGGCACTTTGTGGTCGGGACATTTCACGATGCGGCTTGGTTGGTCCTCGGCAAAGAAATCCACCCCTGCTTGCTCGTGCAGGGAGCGCACGATCTCCACGTCGCCGTATTGGACGGCCCACAGCAGGATCTCCGCGGGGATCAGCTCGTCGCCCGCTTCGTGGCTGAGGATGAATTGGAATAGGGGGATGTTGTGCATCCGGAGGGCAAGGGTAAGTGGGTGGAGGGAAGGTTCGTCGGGGATGAAGGTGGTGTGTGCGTTGCCGACCCAGTAAAATGGGGGCACAGTGAAAGTCTCGTAGATGTGAGCTACGATTTGCCTGGCCTCGGCCAGGATGGCTGTACCCAGGATGTTGAAGCCGGTGGGCAGCACCGTGGTCGGGCGGAGACCTAAAGTGAAGAGGCAGCCGATGGCCGCTACGGAGTCGGTCAGCAGAGCTAGATCGAGGCAGCTCAGCCCGGTCGGCGCCGGCATGTAGGCTTTGCATTTGCAGGCGGGCAGGCTGGTTGACGGCAGGGCGTCCTCGACGACACTGTAGGCCATGCGCTTCACGACCGATTTCCAGGGAGAGTCTCGAGGCGGCTGGGTGACATAGGGAGCCGGGAGAACGGCCAGATCTTGCATCTCTTGCGTGAGCGCGTTCAGCCCATCGTCCTCGCTCTCGGAGTCGGGGTCGAGGATGCGGTAGACTTCCTCATCCGTGAAACCCCCGCGGTTGAAGATATCCAGGAAATCGCGCGCCAGCTCGCAGATCTCCTCCGGGTTGGCCTGTGCCTCTGCGCTGGGGAATGCAGACACTGGTAGGCGTGCTCGTTGGAGGCGGAGCAATTCAGCCAGAACCCGAACGTTGTACCGGTTTTTGCACCGGGGGCATATCTCGGGAAACCTGGAAAGCTGAGACGGCATTGTGAGTCTTTTGTGTATGACCAGAGTTGGTTGACCGATTGGAGGTAGGCGTTTGCGGTGAGCAACTGGTGTACCGTGGGTGATCTATACCGTAGCATAGATCAGAAATTGCAATACCGATGCCTTCAGAAACTATCGTCTGTATGATTTTGAGCGCCTTTTATATCTTTCACTTCGAAAAGAAATGGGGTCATCGAGCCGACATATTCGCAAACCTGATGTTGAAGAGTTGAGAGGACAACATCGCTTTGTTTGCTCGACGAAATATGCCCATATGAGCCACGCTGGTGAAGCCATGTCGCCTTTGTCGAGACATTCAAACCCGTCTGGATCAACGAAACGCTATGAAAGGCATAATGCTCTGTAGCTTTAGCGACTGGGAGTCACAGCCGCTACTCTTTGATGGCGACCTGGAGCAAACGAGGACATCATCTGGCATAGACGGGGAGCACAAAGCCAAGCCAATTTTGGCTTCAAGTTGAAAATGCCAAACGTCAAAGAAGTAGGCCAATTCAACCATCCGTCAAGAACAATCAGTGGCCGGGAAACTCCCTCAATCTGGCAAAGAAAGTGCTCAGGTAAAGCGAAACATTAAGAACGGTTAGGCGATTGCGAGAGAAGCTTGTGAGCGCTTTTTCTGCGCTGGGAAAGTAGTCAAAGTCATCAAAAAGACGTTGTTCTTGCGGAGTCAGATAGCCACCTGGTTTAGGTTGGAAATCATGCGAGAGAACCTTGGATGTTGGTTGCATGGGGATATTGCACGGAGGCGCTTTCATCTCTCAGCGGAAAGAGGCCGACAAGCAAGCTGCTGTCCTAGCCCACTGCAAAGCAGGAGCCTGGGTCTGTTAGTGTCTGTAACTGAGCTAGGACAGGCACAGTTTCAAGGTAAATTGGTCACTAATAGTCAATGTATAAACTCGGATTTGACAGCCAGATAACGTGGGAATCATCCAGGGGAACAATTTCATTCATGCTCAAATGTGGGCTATCGCAATATTACCTCCATGTACCTGAGGTAATCTGGTTTACATATTAATTCTAGAACGACCTAATGCAGGCGGCGTAGTTGATGATTTCATCTGTGTGTTAATACCTTTGTCTCCATTACGATCGTTCCAGTCTCGGGTGTAGTGTCGAATCTCAGTGGACAGATCCCAATGGATCATTCAGCGCTGCAAGACAGTATATCGTTGGTCGAATATGCGAAGGTGTTGTCGGAATCGACCGGACTAGCTTCTTCTGATGCATCGCTCGCGGAGGATGCGACAACGTCTTCTTTCTCCAAGGCTGGAACCCACTTGGCAATTTGCAGGTCCAGCATATGAGCATGCCTGTTAAATCTACATGGTTTGGTGCCCCGACATCCGTCTTTCTGACAGTGATGGCCAAGGAAACACTTCATTGATCGGCAAGAGAGACCGGCGCCACACGGGTGCTGGCGTAGAATGTAGGTCATCACACTACGGCTGTTGGAATCGATGGGGCTATGGTCAAATTCGCAATTTATAGTATCACAGTATCCGGCCAAGTGAAAGTTGTTACAAGGCCGGTGGTATCTGGCACGACGAGAGTACTGATCCCGCGCATCAGGCGAGGGTGCGGCGCAGTAGGTGTCGATGCGGTCTCCAGTCTTGTTAATAGGCACACGAGTTCCATAGGCCGAGTCTGTAGTGGCGGGCAGATTGGCTACATAGTATTCGTGAGTTCGGGATGGGGATGCGTTTTCTCGGTCAAAGATTGATGTAGTATCGTCGGGGACTTTAGATATCTGATGATTCGGTTGTACGTGGAGCTTGATGCATGTGCTTCCATACCTGCAAATGCCCTGTAACCACGTTAGCTCGGCATAACACTTGGGCCACGGTGGGTACTACCTTTTGATAATGCTTACAGACCGGACGGGTAGGCGAGGGCGGTATGATCTGGGATTGAATCTGAGTTTGACTTGGAGGCTCCCTTGCGTGAACACCAGCGAAGGGTGTCGACATGAAGACCTCCGGAAGTTCTCTGACCGGCAAGTTTAGAGCATTGTACTGGTTGTGGAATCCGGCCGCTTTAAGAAGGGTGATACGATCTGTTCGTCCCCGGTAGGGGGTTAATAAGTTTAGGTACCCGGCATCGTGGCACCCGGCGAAAAAAATATGCTTGCATTGGTTATTGTCAGCAAACATCCGAAACATTTCTATCTCAGTCAGCAAACAGGACGTGGCAGTTGGGGGAGAAAGGCTGACCTCTTATCTTGTAGTCCGCCGCTTCTTTCTTGTCCCCTGCATCAGCAAAGTCGAACAAATCTTGGGAGCTCGTCAGGTTGGCTACAAAGGGCGATAGCGATCGGGCTTCATGGCCCACAAGTCCGGAGCGTGCGAGTGCCTTAGATAAACCCAGGACGTTGGCATAGATGCGAACCATGATCCGACATTGGTCCGCCTGACTCCCAAGGCGGTCGTGTAGTAGCTCGCGAATGGAGTCATGCATGAGTCGAGCAGCCGTGATACCTCCATCACTTCCAGCTTTGATCAGGTGTTCTTTAAACTAGGCCTCTCATCAGTCAGGTATCGTGCATCACAGAGAAAATGCACCCATACCAGGTAGCCATCACCGTCGACTAGGACCAACACAAACGGATTTCGTTCCTAGGTATTTCGCTTTAGCTGCTGGCCAAGCACAAGCTGGAGCCCGCATACCTGCCCCCTCGCCAATCGTTTGTAACGCTCTCGCCCCTCTTTTTCCTCCTCGTAATCACTCTTCAAATTGTTGTAGCTTTCGAGCAGCTCTTGGAACTTCGAGAGCAAGCTTTGCAGGTTGTCATGGTGTTGTTGGTTTTCACGGACAATGGTGCCTAGGTGGCTGTCCAAAGCGGTTATATCGGCATCTGCTAGCATCTTGGTCTTCGGTAGGCTGGAAAGAGGTTGGAGTGAGGACGATTGATCGTCGATGATGGGCAGATAGTTTCTCTGGAAAGGATGAGGCGGGAAGGACTACTAAGGGTGGGTGGTCGCCGGCCCCGTATAGTAGTAAAGAGGTGTTGATGGACGCCCGGCATTCAACCGACGTGGTGAATATGCTTGGGGAAGGGGAAGGATAGACTAGAGAACGCAGTGACAGACATGCAGAAGCAAATGCAGCAGATTGAAGCACATTAGGTTCACTTTGACTGCTCTCCAATGCCCGAGAGAGGTATGGTATGTGGTATGGAAGAGAGTGAATGATGCCGTGCCATGCGGGGACGGATCCATGGCAGCAGGAGAACTTGTTTGTTGCGTTGGCAATCCGCTTAGAGCCTTATCGATAAGACCCTTCAGGCACCCAGGCAGAAGGCGGTCGGAGCGACTCGCGGGGTAGTCACCTGACTCACCTGACTGATCTTGGATTGCTGACTCACCCATGCACTTGATTCCCTTTATGCACTTCTTCCCTGAACACCTTCCTTCTTCTGCCATCTTAAAGGCTCCCTGACCAGCTCAGCCACCATCACTACAAACCAAACAACCTCTCTTTCAAAGACCATCGCCTAGGATACCCAGACTTTTCCGCAGGCCAATATTCAGCTAGGATTGGTCAGGCCTTGCCGTTCGTTGTGCTCCACTGGGCTAACCATGGCTGAAGAGCCGAAAGTCTTTCCTGTGGATTCCCTCACTGTCTCCATGCCCCATCAGCTAATTTTGATTCTGAGTCTTACTTCAAGGTTTCGAGAGGTACGTCTCTATTGACCACGGACATTTGTTACACCATGGGATCCATTGTCCCAACTATAAGGTCTACTACCACGGCGGATGAGTCCTCTCCCAACATCCCCCTTACACGTACTCCCTCATTACCCGAGCCCCTCGCCTATTTACCCCTTAAGGATCCCCCCCCGCCCTAGCCTGGAAAACATTCCCAGGCGCCATGAAATGACGTTGGGTGGATTTACACCCAGTGGACCCAGGCAGATACTACCAATCGCCGTCCGTAATCGGGAGGCTTAACACCAGGTTCGATCGAGCCAGTGGGGCCCCTCATGCTTCGAGATGGGCTGTCAAGGAGCTTCGGCTATCCGAAACTTCTCGACCCTCGTGGCCTGGCACGGGGGGTTGGCCTTCCCAGACACTTGTGCCAATCGCCCTTGACTTTGATATCTCGATCATACCTTTCACTCGTTGCCTCAAGCAATTGTCCCTCGTTTTGTCGTTCGTTCCATTCTTAAGTTTCTTTCATTCCAGATCGTTGCCCCTAAACCCCGTCCATGGCTGTCAAGACGGAGGAAGGATCGTCTCCTGGTTCATACCAGCAAATGGAAGATGAGCACGATTTCGCGGAATCAACTGTGGGCAAAGATGTCCGTCCAGTTACGGCCGAGGATGACTCTCCGGCCGACCATCAGAGCAAGCAGAGAATCGCTGTTGTGATGACAGCGCTGAGTGTAAGAGCGCCTGCGCGAGCACAACTCTATGTAACAATCGCTAATAAGCTTGCATAGCTATGCGTCTTTCTGGCAGCATTGGACATTGTAAGGCCTTCGTCTCCGAGGATCATGGACAACACACTTACGCTTCACAGACTATTGTCTCGACGGCCTTACCAGAAATGGTGGCCCACTTCAAAGCCTCCGACAGCGCATACTCCTGGATCGCATCCTCGTACCTGCTTGCCAATGCATCGTGTGTCCCACTGTGGGGTCGGATCAGCGACATCTGGGGTCGAAAGCCCATTCTCATCATCTCCGTGGTGCTCTTCCTGGGAGGGAGTTTGATCTGCGGCGTGGCCATCAACGTCGCCATGGTCATCGCGGGCCGCGCCATCCAGGGTGTCGGCAGCGGAGGCATCACTGTATTGGCCAATATCTGCGTCTCAGATCTGTTTAATGTGCGCCGCCGGTCGGCGTATCTAGGGATTTTCGGAGCGACCTGGGCTATCGCCGGTGCCATCGGACCCATCATCGGCGGCGCTTTCACCACCTACTCGACTTGGCGCTGGTGCTTCTACATCAACCGTACGTGCTCCTGGCACCGCCATCGCTACATCGCTGACCCCATTCAGTTCCCATCGGAGGCCTCGCCCTCTTCGGTCTTCTGTTTTTCCTCAAACTCGATACCGCCCCGCTCACCCCGCTCGCAACCGGCCTTCGCGCCATCGACTGGACCGGCCTCTTCCTGATCGTGGGCGCCACACTCATGCTTCTGTTCGGCCTTGAGTTCGGGGGCTCGCAGTACCCCTGGTCGTCCGCCACGATCATCTGCCTCATCGTTTTCGGACTCGTGACGGCCGGTCTCTTCCTCCTCCATGAGTGGAAATTCGCCCGCACGCCCATCATCCCCATCACGATCTTCTCCAACCCTTACAACCTGACGATCCTCCTCATCAACTTCTGCCACGCCACCGTGTTCATCGGCGGGTGCTTTTATCTGCCCGTCTACTTCCAGAACGTCCTCCTAGCCAGCTCCCTCATGAGCGGCGTGTACCTGCTCCCGCTGGTCGTCGCCCTTTCGATCTCGTCCGGGTTGGGGGGCTTCTACATGCGAAGTACCGGCCGATCGCGCGAGGCGATCTGTTTAGGGATGCTGTTCACGACCCTTGGCTTTGGACTTTACATCGACCTCCAGTCGTACGCCTCGTGGCCGCGGATCATTCTGTTCCAGGTAGTCGTGGGGCTGGGCATTGGCCCGAACTTCCAGGCGACGCTGATTGCCTTGCAGGCGAACACCAAACCGGAGGAGCTGGGGCGAGGGACGGCGACCTTCTCCTTCATCCGGCAGCTGGCCTCGGCGGTGTCGGTCGTGGTTGCATCGGTGGTGTACGGCCATGTGGTGAGTACGAAGGAGGGAACGATGGCGGCGGTGCTTGGGGAGACCCTGGCGGAGGAGATTGTGGCAGCATCCACCGCGGCTGAGGCATTTGTGAAGATGTTGCCGAAGGGTGAGGAGCGGGAGGTGGTGCTACATGCGCTGACGGAGGCGTTAAGCTGGGTCTGGGTGCTGTACACCGCTGTTGCCGGGTTTGGATTCTTGATTAGTTTGTCATTGAAGGATTTGAGGCTGGGGGACGCGCAGCCGACCAAGGCTGTGGAGGACGGCCAGGTGGACGATGCCGTCGAGATGGCTAAGAGCAGGGTTTAGATCTACTGCACTGCACAGTATATACTCTGGAGTAATCAACAACCTGTCATCCCCACCAATACGAAGTCCCGTCGAACGATGTCCTTATTGTGTATACTGTGCTGTACATTGGGCGATGTACAGTAAGTACGGAGACAGAGTCCAGAGTAAATCTGGAAGCTAGACTAAGTAGTAACTGGCTAGTAGCCTGGCTAATCCCAACTAGGATGGACCGAGGCAGATCCTCGTCTAATCTCACCTCAGCCACGCCTCAGCCCATACGAACACAAGTGAACCTTGAAGATGGATTGAGTCAGTTCAGTCAACACCGGACACATATACCTCTTTTCCGGGCAGAACTCTATACAAATACCTCCATCTCCACCTCCTCCATCCTTCTCGCCACCTGACGCCCTCGAGCCCTCCCAAAATGGCCACCCCCACCGTCAAAGGAACAAACCACCCCGCCTTCGCTGCCGTGCGCGCCCTCTTCGCAACAAACGTCCAAACCGGCACCGAAACCGGCGCCTCCCTCTGCGTAAGCATCAACGGACAAACCGTCCTCGACCTCTGGGGCGGCTCCACCTCCACCTCCACCCGCCCAGCAGACTGGCAAGAAACCACCCTCGTGCCCGTCTGGTCCCTCACGAAACTCCTCACGGCCCTCAGCACACTCCTCCTCATCGACCGGGGCCAACTCTCCCCCACCGCCGCTGTTTCAACATACTGGCCGGCCTTCACAGCCTCCCCCAAAATCCAAGTCCGGCATCTCCTCAGCCACACCTCCGGCCTGGCGGGGTGGGATGCCCCCGCCCCCAGTCCCGCCGAGATCTACGATATCGAGGCGTGCACCGCGCGTCTCATAGCGCAAGACCCCTGGTGGGAGCCGGGTACGGCGTCGGGGTACCATATCCTTTCCTACGGGTTCTTGCTGGGTGGGTTGATTCGGCAGGTCACAGGCCGGGGATTGAGCGAGTTCATCCATACTGAGTTGGTGGTGCCGCTTGGTGCGGAGGGGGGGTTCTATCTCGATGTCCCGGAGCGGGAGTGGGGTCGTATCGCTGCGCTGGTTCCGCCGACGGCGTTTGAGATGCCGACGCTGGAGCCGGGTAGTGTGGCGGGGAAGGCGATACTGAGCGCGTCCGGGGCGGTGGGTGTGGATAGCCCCCGGACGCCGGAGTTCCGGCATGCGGAGATGGGGGCGTCGGATGGGTTTGGGAATGCCCGGGCCTTGAACAAGATTTTGGAGGTGGTGACGTTGGAGGGGGTGGTGGGTGGGAAGAGGTATCTGAAGGAGGAGACGGTGGAGCTGATCTTTCAGGAGCAGGTGTCGGGCGTGGATTTGGTGCTTGGGCAGCCAGTGACGTTTGGGGTGGGCATGGCAATGGCCAGGCCTTCGGGGCCGAGTTGGTTGCCTGATGGGCGCAGGGTGGGATATTGGACGGGCTGGGGCGGGTCGTTGGGCTTGGTCGATGTTGAGAGGGGGGTGACGGTCACGTATACCATGAATAAGATGGATGTGGGGTTGGTGGAGAATGAGCGCGCCAGGCAGTATGTGGGTGCGATCTATGCGGCGCTGGAGGGCTATTTGGCGGCCGCGCAGTAGATCCGCGGGGTTTATAGACAGCTAGTAGCTGAAATAAGTATATCGTGTGGGAGAAAGGTGGAGCTAGGGTTTGGGGTTAGCTTCATTGCTGGTGGATATATTGTGTGCTGCATGCCTACTAGGTCCCTGGAATACCATTTCATCAATCATCTTACTTCATAGCTAAGCTGAGCCCTCGTATACAGCCGTAATCCGTACCAAAAGAAGCAATGTTACATACACCGTCCCTTTGTGGACGAACCATGGCTCTCTCCCGCAAGTAATGATATCACCACTTCTCCCTCCTTTTCATCATGCCCCAAATAAAATGCAACTCAATCGCTGTAGATCGCAAGATCGCAATCATGCCCATCTCCGCATCGCAGTCTACCTTCAAATCCTCATACCATGCCTTCCTCCCCGCATTCCAGTGCCTCTTCCCTCTCCACCATCCCAACCGAGCAGCCCAGCTTCGAACCCGTGCGCACCCCCAGCACCAGCCTCCATCAAGCCCAGAGCAATGTTGCCATCTCGCGCATCCAATCCCTCCGCCTCACCCATGAATCCACCGTCGGCTCCCGCAGAGGCAGCACCCGGACGCCGCGCGAGCAATGGCTCCCCATGGGCGGCGGGAAGGAGTTTCCCCCGCTGCTCCCGGACCCGGACCGGTATGTTGTCGAGTTCCTCGACGAGAAGGATCCGATGCATCCGCATAATTGGCCAACAAGGACGAAGTGAGCGATCCGAGCGTCTGGCAGATGTGTAGCTGAGAGCGAGGTTCAGTTGTCTGCGCCGCAACCCTCCCAGCACGCTCTCTACTCCATCAGGAACGAACCCTAACCATCCCGCAGAATCTTTCTCTCCGCAATCCTAGCCTACGTCACCTTCGTCTCCTCCTTCGCCTCGGCCATCTTCTCCTCGACCGTCACCGCCATCAGCGAACAGTTCCACATCAGCACCGAGGTGGCCGTGCTAGGCGTGACCCTGTACGTCCTGGGCTTCGCCGCCGGCCCGACGCTGTGGGCACCCCTATCGGAACTCTACGGCCGCCGCTGGCCCATCACCGCCGGCATCTTCGGGTACAGCGTATTCACGATCGGGACCGCGACGGCCAAGGACGTGCAGACGATCATGCTCACGCGGTTTTTCGCGGGGCTGTTCGCCGCCAGCCCGCTGGCCATTGTCCCCGCAGCCTTTGCGGACATCTACAACAACCGCACGCGCGGGATCGCGATCGCCATGTTCGCCATGGCCGTGTTCGTCGGGCCCTTCGCGTCGCCCTTCACGGGCGGCTTCATCACCATGAGCTACCTGCACTGGCGCTGGACCATGTACATCGCCAGCATCATGGGCTTCCTGGGCTTCGCGCTCCTGCTCCTCTTCTACCGCGAGACGTACGCGCCCGCGCTCCTACAGCAGAAGGCGTCGATCGTGCGCCGCCAGACCCGGAACTGGGGCATCCACGCCAAGCAGGACGAGGTGGAGATCGATCTGCACGAGCTGATCACTGTCAACTTTAGCCGCCCGTTTCGGATGCTCTTTACCGAGCCGATTGTCTTCCTCGTCACCCTGTACATGTCGTTTATCTATGGCCTGATGTATGCGCTGCTGTCGGCGTACCCCGTGGTGTTCCAGGAGATTCATGGGATGAACCTGGGGGTGGGCAGTCTGCCCTTCATTGGGCTGATGATTGGCGAGTTTGCCGGAGGGGCGTACGTCTTAATGAGCCAGGGGAGCTACACAAGAAAGTTGGTTGCCAACGGAGACGTCCCGGTGCCGGAGTGGAGATTACCCCCGGCGATTGTAGGGGGTGCGGCGTTCACAATTGGATTGTTTTGGTAAGGAACAGCCCCCGCAGGAATCACCGAGCGGAATAAGTTGCTAAAGAAGGCTCCGACAGGTACGGCTGGACGGGCTGGACACAGTCTATCCACTGGATGGCCCCCACCGCATCTGGAGTGTTCACCGGCTTCGGAATCTACTGCATCTTCTTGCAGTGCTTCAACTATCTTATTGACTCTTATCTGCAATTGTGGGTAGATGAGGAGGTCCCTGCATCCCTGCAAGTCATCAGCTGACGAGAGCCACTTTAGTGCTGCCTCGGTGTTCGCCGCCAACACTATCCTCCGGTCCGCGGTGGGCGCATGCTTCCCCTTGTTCGCCAAGCAGATGTTCGTCAATCTGGGGGTGCAATGGGCAGGCACCTTACTGGGATGTCTCGCCGCGATCATGGTTCCTATCCCACTGGGATTCATCCTGTATGGCCCAGCACTGCGGCGAAAGAGTAAATTTGCGCCATCGCCAGTATTCTTCCAGGAGAAAGCTTGTTAATAAGCGCACGTGAAAACGTTCTGTAACAGATTAGAAACCTACTCCATTTAGTTGCTCATTTAGTTGCTCATTTAGTTGCTTCTTAGCCTTCAGTTTTCCGGCGGCTGCCAAGGCTGGCCACCGGTTTTTCCGCCGCTTAGCGAAGTAACCCTAGCCGATAACAATCAGGAGATATTCACTGCCACGACGCTGATTGCCTGGAGGCGAATTGCCAAGCACGCCACCCATGGACAGAGCAGCCAGTCCAGGCTGTATCCATTCCTTTGCCAAGCTGCCAAGATGATAAGGAGAAATTTTCCCACACGTTGCTTTCCCGATCGCGTGCGGGTGCTTATCACTTGGCCTCGTTCCCCGGCTCCCGCGACATTTTTTCTCGCCGCTTCTGCCTGACGGACCACATAAAATCCCTGGTTCCCCGGGTTGGGGGGTGAAGCTGTCAGCGTTGTCTGTTTTGATTTTTCATTCCTCGAGCTTGTCTCGCAGTAGATTGTCTTGCAATAGACTGACAGTCGCCTTGCACCATGGGTTTGCAGAACTGGGTGCATGAAACCAACCTCGCGGTGGCTCGCAGCCCCGTGGGGAGATGGTTCCGGTTGGAGAACTCGGGCCATGTAAGTGGTGGCACTTTGTGGATGCACAGCGGTGCATCGCGAGCGTGACTGATCCCTCCCTTAGCCCAAGGAACGCAAGGGTAGTTTCTTCTTCACCGAGCTCCGCGCCGGTCTCGCCACCTTCTTCGCGATGGCGTACATCATCAGTGTCAACGCCACCATCACCTCCGAATCGGGCGGGCCCTGCGTCTGCCCCGCAGACAGCATGTCCGATCTCTGCGCGACCAACACGGAGTACCTCCTGTGCGTCGAGGAGGTCAACCGGGATTTCGTGACTGCGACCGCCGCCATCTCAGCACTGTCGACCTTCTGCATGGGCCTGTTCGCCAATCTTCCGGTCGCGCTCGCCCCAGGCATGGGTCTCAACAGCTACTTCGCATATACAGTGGTCGGATACCACGGATCGGGTTTGATCCCCTACGGAATCGCGTTGACGGCCGTCTTCGTGGAGGGCTTTGTCTTCTTGGCCCTGACGCTGTTGGGTATCCGACAATGGCTGGCCCGTGCACTACCTGCCTCGATCAAACTGGCTACCGGCACGGGTATCGGGCTGTATTTGACCTTGATCGGCCTCACTTATAGTGCGGGTATTGGACTAGTGACGGGCGGCACCAGCGTGCCCATTGATCTGGCAGGATGTACCGAGAGCCTCAAGGATGCGACCACGGGTGCTTGCCCGTCCTCCGCGGTCATGCGTAGTCCGACCATGTGGATTGGTATCTTCTGCGGTGGTGTTCTCACCGTGGTGCTCATGATGTACCGAGTCAAGGGTGCTATCATCATGGGTATCCTCCTTGTCTCGATCATCTCGTGGCCCCGACCCACTGATGTCACTTATTTCCCTCATTCCTCGATCGGAGACAGCCGTTTCGATTTCTTCAAGAAGGTGGTGACCTTCCATCCCATCACGCGCACGCTTGTCGCGCAGGAGTGGAACATCAGTGGCCACGGCGCGAAGTTCGGTTTGGCTTTCATCTCGTTCCTGGTATGTGAACATTCCTCGACGGTTGGTGAGGTCACATGACTAACAGAAGCAGTATGTCGACATCCTCGACACGACGGGAACGCTGTATTCGATGGCGCGCTATGCAGGCACGATTGATCCGGTCACGCAGGACTTCGAGGGCAGCTCTATTGCTTATGTGAGTATTTTCTGCCGTTCTTTCTTTGCGCTCCCATACTGATTGTCCCCAGATGGTGGATGCCATTTCGATCTCGATCGGGTCTCTGTTTGGCGTGCCGCCCGTGACGGCTTTCGTGGAGAGTGGAGCCGGTATCTCCGAAGGAGGTAAGACGGGGTTGACATCGTGCATGACGGGCCTGTGCTTCTTCATCTCGGTGTTCTTCTCGCCGATCTTTGCCTCGATCCCTCCTTGGGCGACTGGTTGCACGCTGGTCATCGTCGGGGCGCTGATGGCGCAGGCGGCGACGCAGATCAACTGGAAGTACCACGGAGATGCCATTCCGGCATTTTTGACGATTGCCATCATGCCGTTCACGTATAGTATCGCGTACGGGTTGATTGCCGGTATCTGCAGCTACATCACGATCAACGGCATCACGTGGGTGCTGGCGAAGGTGACGGGCGGGCGGTTGGTGCCGCCCAACCTGGACGAGAGTGAGCCATGGACCTGGCGAATTCCAGGAGGGCTTTTCCCCCCGTGGGTGAAGCGGGCGGCTCGAGGTAAGAAAGACTTCTGGCGCGACGACTCGATAGATCGATCGTTTGGTGGGGAAGAGGAGGAGCGACGCTCGGTGGTGTCCAAGGAAGAGGAGGAGCGGGACAAGAAGCAGGTGGTGGATGTGAAGCCACAGCCGGTGTAAACACGTAACATGTGACCTGGGAGTCTGAGCCTGAGGCCGTAAAAGGTCCGCGTCTAACGCTTCCGCGCCTCGCCGGCGGCTCGCCACCCTCCGCCTCACTTATGAGTACTCACCTCCTACCGGTACTGTCTGTAACATGAGCGTCATAATAATAACACTAATTATGAGTATTTGTATGCCCAAGTTTTCAAGTTTTGCCCCCCATATTCACGGAAATCACATCTCCCAGATCGTTCCCTTGCGTGGGGAGGGTATCGAGATAGATACCCAATGATACTACGCATGTAATTTCCACGCAGAAACATCAAGATCGCCTTTGCCACCGCATCGACGAGGCCACGCGTGCTACTTGTGGTTCCCTCTGGTGGTTGCAGGGCGCTTTGGCCCGTATCGAGTTGGGCCTCACTCCTGGTGGTGGCTGATACCTTATGGGGACTGTTGGGTCCGGGCAGTATGAACCACGATAGGCGAATGATGAGGGAGGAAGCGGTCAATGCCGGTGTTGGCTCCAATTTTAAAGTCGGTATAGCGTCGAAGTGCCGAGCAAGTCCGACAGTTCTGGGTGTGCTTTGGCTGCGATAGCCTATGAGTGAACAGCTGCAACTGGAAGGAGGGGGCTGTTCTTGCACAAAAGTCGAGCGGTATTCAGATCCGACCGGTCTAAGACCTCGATAGGTCACTGCGTTGCTCGCTGGCTGGGGTAAGCGTGACAAAAAAAGAAAAGAAAAACCTGCTTTTCACTGTGTCTCTGACTTGACTAGTGGGCCTCAACATTTTTTTGTTCTTGGATCGAGACCGTGTGGGAGCGAAGATCGCATGGGAATTTGTTTGATTGACTTGAATGAATCAGTTCCATTGTTAACTTTCACCTTTCAACCTTGTTGACAAACCCGATCGGCCGGCGGAGATAGCCAGGCACCGACTGCCATCCCATCAGGCTATCCGGAGATAGAAGGCGACAGCCTGATTTCTGGAAGTGGCTTAGTGCCATCGGGCCGCTTAGTCCCGTAACTGGGAAATCACCAGTCAGATGCAACAGCATGCGACAGCATTGCCGGTTTCGGGAATTTGCCCCCATTCCTGATTCGGTTCGGCCGGCAGGAAGGAATCATCTCGGGAATAGTTCCCAGCTTAGAAGGAGTTATCCTAGCAAAGGAATTGGTTATGAATGTACTTTTTCAGCCTGCTTGGAGGCTTTAGTACGGAGGAGTAGTAGACTACTGATCATGATTATGGTTTGGTTTGTGGTTCATGGTTCATGGTTCATGGTTCATAGTTCATAGTTCATGGTTCATGGTTCCATTATGAATGCGGCGATGATGCTACTTGCCTAATCCAGCTGCACGCGTCGACATCATGGATGAATCCCGATAGTTATCCACTACATACTACTTACTATTATGGACTGTGCAGGCATGATATGTTTGTGACTCAAAATAAAACCTATCAGGTACCTACAGTCCACTGGACCCAATAGTTCTTCACCTGTATTGTCTGTATCTGTCTATTATTGTCTATTGTTGATTGTTGATTGTCTATTGTCTATTGTTGGTACTATTTTCCAATCTTCAGCATCTCCCATTCATCCAGGAACTGGAAGTATGAGCATGAGCATGAGCATGAGCATGAGCATGAGCACATCAAGCGGGTCGATCCACTTCCCTCCTCCCTCCACCTTTTGGTTCGAACTGAGGTCCTTCCATTTTACCCACTTTGGTCCCAATCGAGTGGAAGGGATGTTCCCACCATCCAATCGTCCGCCGTCATTCCTCTTTCCTCCCCCCCCCTCGCGCTGGATCGACCTGCTTTCCCTCCTCTCCTGCACGGGATCTTCTTCCATTCTGAGGCTACTACGGAGTACACCACCACCACCTCCCAACCTTCAACCTGAACTACTTTTCCGTACCTCCTTACTAAACTAACACCACCACTAATCAACACTTCTACCACTCATTCACTCACTCACTGATTCTCATGCATATCCATCTTTTCCCTCTTGCGGTCTCCTCCCCTCTTTCTCCTTCTCCTTTCCCTTCTCCTCTTTCTTCTAGTATCCTGCCCTCTTCCTCTACTTTTTTTCGCGATTCTTGCGCCCTGTTTCCAACGACCCTTTCTTTTCCTCCTTGATATCCTCTTCCTCTCTCTCCTTCCGTCGCTCCACATTTTCTAGTCTTTGTCCCTTCTTCCTTTTCCTCCTCTTCTCCCCACCTTTCGCTTCTCCCCTTCCGATTCAATCATGGATCCTCACCATGTCCGATACTAAGTCGCGCCCTTTGGCTCCGGCCCCTCCTGGTGCCAATGCTGCTCTCGACAACCACCAACGCAGAAAGAATGTCGGTACAGCTTGTGCCGCCTGCAAAGCGCGGAAACTAAAGGTGCGCGCGGCTCATCCTCCTCCATTGTTTCTCCCTCCTGCCCCCTCTATCCTCTCCCCTCCTCCCTTGTCCCTTCGCACTCACACTGACCGGAAGGTGACTATAGTGTACCGGATCCGTGCCCTGTGCCAGCTGCGTCAAAAGCAATGTCGAATGCACTCTCGACAAGAGCGCCGATAAACGTCGCCGGGGCGCTCTCAAACGCAAAATCGATGAATTGGCCGACAAGGAGGAGTTGCTGGTCCGCCTCGTGGGTGCAATTCGCGAAAGTGGCAATGGCCATGTCATGCCCCTCATCGACCTCATCCGTACCGATCCCACCCTCGACGAAATCCGCCAGCACATTCACCTCCATATCCCGCAGTCGGAACTAGAGCTGACGCCCGACCTGGCTCAGCTGAGTCGCGAAGTCCAACACCTACAATCCTCAGACCGCTCGCGTCCAATGCGCCGCATGCTCGAAGCCAAACGTGCCGCCGATTCGCCACGCTACCTCGTACCGGCGCACCCTTGGACCGCTGTAGTGCCCGATTCCCATTTTGTTTCACATCTCATCTCGCTTTGGTTTACCTGGTCGCACCCCTTCCGCAACTGGATCGATCGGGATTTGTTCTTGCGGGAGATGCAGACCGGCAAGCGGTCAGGGCGGTTCTGTTCTCCGTTCCTGGTCAACAGTATCCTCGCCGACGCGTGTGTAGGTTGGCCCGTGTCTTGTGGTGATTTTACCCCCAGCTGATCGGTTTAGGCCTACTCGGACTACCCGGACGCGTTCACCATCCCCGGCGATACCGCCTCGAAAGGCCTTCATTTCTACGAGGAAGCGAAACGACTACTCGACCAGGAAGCCGGGCGCATCACATTGCCGACCGTGCAGGGTTTGGGGATCCTATGGTCGTGGTAGGTCATTTCACGACGCGTTCAACCAAGATCCTGAGTTGACCTTCCACGCAGTGCTGCTCGGACCGGTCGCGACCGTCAGGGCTGGATTTATCAAAACCAGCTTGCCTACGCACTACAAGAACTGTTGCAGAAGAATTCCAGCCTCGCCGCTAATCCCGACCTGGATACCCTGCGGATGGTTCATGGGCTGAACCGGACCGTCTGGGGGTTATTCAACGTCGCCACGTACGGCCCCTGCGCCCGATCTTTGACTTTCTCCTCCTCCATCGCCCCATGCGCCCGGTCCTTATGAAGGAGCTCCACTGACGCGTCGGCCAGGATCCATGCCCTGACCGACCGGAGCCGCCCGTCGATACCTATACCCGACCGCCACCGTCTCCCACCATTGCGCCATGAGGGCGGCCCAGATGACATATGGCAGCCCTACCCACGCCCGGTGGCGGGGATCCCTGGTCACGTGGATTGTTTATTCGTCGCCCTCTCGAATCTGACTCCGATTGCGTACGAGGTGACTCGATTGTTCGAGCTTCCGCCACGCGCCGATCTTGCCGCGCGGGTCACTGTTTTGCACGAACACCTCCAACATTGCGCGGACCACTGGCCCGCATGCTTGAAGGGCACGCGACTCGAAGCGCCTCATATTCTGTGTCTGCAGTGAGTACCTGGTGTTCGATAGGGGTCAATTGGTAACTTACCAGGTGATGTAGCATGTATTACCACTTGATTGTCCTGACGCTGTATGGAGTGGTTCTATCCGCCACACCGCCCTCCGCGACCGACCGGGTTGGGCTCCACGCCCGCGCTGTGCGGCTCTCGGCGGCGCGAAACATTGCCCATCTGAACTGCATTCATCGCTCGTGCTGGGGCGTGGAGCGTATGCCGGTCAGCAATAGCTCCTGTCTGTTGGGGGCTCTTCTCGCTCTGTTGGATGGGCTCGATGAGCCTGAAAACCGGGAGGCGTTCATTACCCTTTCGGTTGCTGCCAAATCATTAACACGCCGGTGGGACGGTGGGAGGAACCTGCTGGGGATCGTGCGCACCACCGCCCAGGCTCAAGGGGTGGCTCTTCCCGCGGAGACTGCCTCTCTGTTCACCACTTTTTTCTTGCCACTAGCGACCACCCCGATGTCGGGAGTGGACGAATCCCCCGATGGGGCGGAGGAAAGCAGTCCCGCAGGTTGAGGTGACTTCAAATGTTCCTCTGTTTATGCACCACTATTTGATACCCGAGCGGATTAAGGGATCCTTCCTACACGGGCCAGCGAGCCCTGAACCCGACCGGCCTGTGTGCCGGTCTATGCCTGAATCTTGAGCCTTGCGATCATTCTTGGACAGTCTGCGCAAGATCCTGAGCGGTAGTTGAACCTGGAATGCAACAACCAGTAGCTGGTTGCTCCTCAGGATTCGACCCAAGCTACTTGCTAGCTTCCGATTCAGCATTTGTCTCATCATGTGCCTCTGAATCATTGCCATTTACATTAGCTATTGCGCCATATTTTCACATCTTATTAATCATAACTCATTATAACATCATGTCAGACCGGACACATCGTACTATAACCCATTATATGAGTTCTCAGACTGCAATCATCAGTCATCACATCGTCGCTCCCACACGTAACCCTTCCGTGGCATTCCGTATCCTCACACCGTCTCCACCCTCTGTGGCACCGGCCTTTTCCTGGTTCTTCGCTTTGCTGGCCGGAAATAATGCCACCAAGCCCAGACCGCCATGGTGGCGAGGGTCAGGGGGATCGTCACCGCCCAGTACAACCAGAACGAGCCCGCCATGAACCAGGTATGTTCGTCACCGTCGGTGAAGTTGAAGAAGTTCGTTCCGAACAGGCCCTACGCCATCAGCCAGCAGCTCCAAACAACTCCCCTTCCGAACAACAATGTCCAAAAAAAAAAAAAAAACATAAAAGACAAACGTACCGACACAAACGTCCCCGGCAGATAGACCATACTCACCACGGCGATGGTCTTCATCATCGCCGAGTCGGATTTGGTGTCGTGCCCGAACTGCTGGGAGACGAGGTTGAAACCCTACCGTTCTAGTTAGCAGCATAACCAGTGCAAAGATCCACAATGGGGAAAGGACTTCAGTAGAATGGGAAAAGGCCCTACGCACGAGATTAATCTCATTGTGCAACCGCTCCGTGAGCGAGCGGCTGCGCGTGTGCAGCGCATGCAGCTGCTTGGCGACGGCGCGGAGGGCGCGTTCGGTCTGGAGGGTGAAGATGTGCGTGCTTGGTGCTGAAACACAGCTATTGTAGGTGTGGCTGTGATTGTGGTGATGGTGCGAGGGGGCGCTGGAGCTGGGAGTCGTCCCTGCTGCTGCTCCTGGAGCATACAACCCCGCCGACCGAATCTGCTCCCGCACCAGACTCTCCACGGTATGCTGTGCCACCTCGAGGGTCTCGTTGGCGTGGAAGATGTGCCGCGCGATGTCGTGCAGGTGCGGGAAGAAATCCGGCGTCAGGGCTGTGGGATTCAGTCGGCCCTGTTTTTTTGCTGTCAGTATCATTTTCGAGCTGGGTTTGTGGCGCTTGTTACGGTGCGTGGGGGGGGGGGGATGTATGGAGAGATAGCGGAGTTGGGGCTGGGGTACCAATGTGGTAGATGGCCATCTTGTAAGTGATGGTTCGGGGGGGGGGGGTTGCAGGAAGGCACCAGGTGGCTTTGGTAGCTGCTAACCTTCTCAATCTCCCGCACCAGATCCCGTAGCCCCCAGATCGACCGGTCATATTCCGGGATCAACGCCGTCGCAAACGCCGCGTGCCAGGCGTACGGGTCGTGAGCGCGCTGGCGCGCTGGCGGGAAGAAGGCCTTCAGGAATGTGCGCGGCGGCAGGGGCAGGTCGATGCAGTAGACGGTTTGCTGGCTGGTGCGCGGGTCCCAGTCCACGTAGCAGGTGGCTTGCGTCCAGTGGTATTTGTGGGGTTCGATCACGCGTTTGATTTTGTAGGTGGACCATGATCCTTTACTTTTTGTGTTATTTTTGGTGGTGGTGGGAAGGGTATAGTACATGAGGAGGGTGTGCGGGGCTATGGCTGAGGGGAAGGGGATGGCTGGCTTACTGTGCTGGATGAATTGGCCGGCCTCGTTGGGGATGTCCTCGCAGTCGAAGGAGCCGTTCAGGTCTTCGGTGATGATGGGTTGGAAGCGGGCGGGGAAGAGGGGCAGGTGAGAGGGTGTGTCGAGGGTCGTGGTTGAGGTGAATCTGTTTTCTTGCTGTTAGGGTTTCCGCATATGCAAGAGGAGCGAAAATGTTCGAAGGGAGAGATGAATACATTACTGTCGAGTAGCGCGGGGTCTATTGAAGATGTTAGTATTGTTTGCCTGTTGGGAATTCTCAATTGAGCTGTGTGGAGGGAGGGTGTGACCTCGGCATTGAACTCCAGCACCGAAATGCGCCGTTCCACCCAGTCATCTGTCTCTGTGACTTGGTTAGCCAGGTTTGAATCGCTAACAAGCAAAGAAGAAGAAGAAGAAAACTTACCGCATTCCTCGAAAATCCTTGTCTCCGGTCGGTCGGTCGACGAGCTGGTGCGGAGTTTCTCCATTGCGCACGGAGGGTTGAAGGCACACACAGAACTAGGCGCCCAGCATGAGGCTGGTAATGGTGTGGTCTCTTCTTATACACAGAAAGGCTCGATTGCCAGCCTACTGCAGACTAGGCCAGCCTTGTTGGCGGCGCAGTTAGCCGCCGTGAGTCGAATCCCCAGGAAACATGAAGCCCAATCGTGGCGCCAAGCCGAGGTCTTTCTGTAGGGCTTCGGCGAGGATGCGCCCGCCCGCGGGCGGCGCGGGCTGCGTGTGCTGCGTGTGTGCTGGCGCTGTCTGTCATCTCGCATGGGGCTGTGGGCCAGCCCTGTCAAGGATATCTGGACTGTTTGGGTTCATGGAGGTGAGATGAGTGGAATTGTGCTGGTTGTGGATTGCTGATTGTTGATTGTTGCCTGATTGTTGAGGTGGATTGCATTGTTGGACCGGGGTGTGATGTGAGACAATCACCGCCTTGTCACTGAATTGGTGGTGGCTGTTCTACATCCCAGTAGATAATATGGGAGAATATGATTGCAGGAGATAAATGGGTCTGTGTTCAGTGCTTGCAGCTGACTTCTCATTGCCACTATCCTACTGTTTTCGTCGCAACGACACTACCATTCTACGTGATCCGTGGGACAGGCGGGCGCACTCCCCGCTTTATTGAGTGTGGAGTCAACGAGCGACGGGTGATGTCAGTACGATGTATGAGCTGTGGTGCAGAGGCGCAAGAAAAGAAATTGGAGAAAAGAAGGCGAAAAGAAGAAAAGAAGAAAAAAAAAAAAAAAAAAAAAAGAGGAAAAGAACGCATAACTCATCGAAGAGCAGAGTAAAAGAAAACAGATCGAACCCTATGGTCGGAACAAGCAACAACACTCCGGCGATAACCACAAATTACGTAGATTGACCCTCGCTGATAAGGATGGGTTGATTGGAGACATCTTCCGAGGCCAGCTCTTATCAGCAATCATCTAGAGACTAGAGTAATTAATTAATTCTCAGGAACGGGAAGGAACACGCATTTCCCCTGGACGGGACAAAGAGAGAGGAGCTTGCGAGGCAAAGAGGAAGAAAAGCTGGCAAGCTGAACTCGGCTGGGTTTGCCCTGGTTTGAGGCGGGGAAAATTGGTGAGAAGTGAGACTAGTGGTGATGATCGCCGAGGTTCTTGCAGCTGTGCGGAGTACTGTACCTGCTGCGGACTGTAGAGAGCCCGAGAATATGAGCTCACTGAAGATGCAGGCTGCAGATATGCAATCGGATGCCTCTTCTCCTGGCTGCTATCTAGTTTGGTGTATTTTCCGCTTCAGGGGCTTTCCCTTCATCCTCATCCTCATCTTCACCACTGACTGACCACTGAATCTCCCTCTCCCCACAGCCCACAACCCAAATCTGCCAAGTCCAAGCGTATCTTCAATTCTCCCATCCGTGGTTCTTCCCGGACCCGCTTGGACTTGCCCAAATATGCTTAGAACCCCGATAAGCAAAGGTGATAAGTTGACCATCCCCGTCGGTGGAGCTCTGCAGCCCGTGTTGAGCTTCTGCAGCGCTGGGTAAGTCGATAAACCCGCTGGCTCACCGGAGCTATCGAATTAGCATGCTATAAAGTTGGAGGTTTCCCAGTTTCTGTCTCTCTCTCTCTCTCTCTCCCTCTCTCAGCTGCCCCTCACCCTCCGTCTTTCTCCTTCGCACCATGCGATCTTTCCTGCTGGCACTTCTCGGAGCGTGGGCTGTCCAGCCCACCGCTGCTCATGTGGCTCATGCTCGTGATCAGGGCCAATGCAAGCAGACAACCGTCGCTATCCTGTAGGTCCCTCTCGCTGCAGTGGCAGAAGAAGAACGTCACTGACAGGTGTAGTGGTGGTGGTATGGCTGGCATTGCTGCGGCGGTAGGTGTCGAACCACAGTACAGTTAATCGAAGAGTAGCTGACTCCAACAGCAAGCGCTGCACAACGCCTCGATGAACGACTTTCTGATTCTCGAGTACAACGACCGCATCGGAGGACGGGCGTGGCACCAACCTTTCGGCAAGAAGAAGGACGGCAAGCCGTATATCATCGAGAATGGTTGCAATTGGGTAGGCTGGACCGCTATGTCTTGTCGAAGACCTCGCTGACTCGTGCAGGTGCAAGGCCTTGGAAGCCCTGGAGGACCGCAGAATCCCGTCTGGACATTGGTGAGTGGTCAGCAGTCTCAAGCACAGTGAGCACGAAGCTCACCGTCGCAGGCCCAAGTGTACAATCTCTCGACCACCTACTCCAACTACAGCAACCTGTCGACCTACAACCACAACGGCTACAGCGATTACTCCTACTTGCTGGACGAGTACGACGATGCCTACGACATCGCCAACGCCAACGCGGGCATCATCCTGACGGACAACCTGCAGGATTCCACGGCGCAGACCGGTCTTGCCATGGCCGGATGGCGCCCGAAGGTGACGGACATGGAGGCGCAGGCGGTGGACTGGTGGTCTTGGGGTAAGCCACCCCCAAACTGAGGTCTAAGAACCTCCCTCTGGACACGCCCACTAACGCCCACCGCAGACTTCGAAGACGCGTACACTCCTGCCGACAGCTCCTTCGTCTTCGGCTGCGCCGGCAGCAACCTGACGGTCAACGGCTTCAGCGACGAAGACAACTTCGTGACCGACCAGCGGGGATTCAGCACGATCATCGAGGGGATGGCGTCGACCTTCCTCCGGCGCAACGACAGCCGGCTGCACCTCAACACGCAAGTCACCAACATCACCTACACCGACACGGGGGTGACGATCACCACGGCGTCGGGCGACTGCTACCAAGCGGCGTACGCGATCACCACGTTCTCGCTGGGGGTGCTGCAGCAATCGGACGCCGTGACCTTCTCGCCGGCGCTGCCGCAATGGAAGCAGGAATCCATCCAAGCCTTCACGATGGCGACGTACACGAAGATCTTCTTCCAATTCAACGAGACCTTCTGGCCCGCGGACACCCAGTATTTACTGTACGCCGACCCGGTCACCCGCGGCTGGTACCCGATCTGGCAATCCCTCAGCACCCCCGGGTTCTTCGAGGACAGCGGGATCATCTTCGTGACCGTTACCCAAGAATTCGCCCACCGCGCCGAGCGCCAGTCCGACGAGCAGACCAAGCAGGAGGCGCTCGCCGTGCTGCGCGCCATGTTCCCCAACGTCACCGTCCCGGACCCCGTCGCCTTCCACTACCCGCGCTGGACGACCGAGCCCTGGTCGTTCGGCACGTACTCCAACTGGCCGCCCGCCGTGACGCTGGAGATGCACGAGAACCTGCGCGCCAACGTCGACCGCGTGTGGTTCGCTGGCGAGGCCACCAGCGCCGGGTACTTTGGATACCTGCACGGGGCGTGGTTCGAGGGCCGCGCGGCGGCGCAGGAGGTCGGCCGCCTGTTGCGCGGCAAGTGTCTGGCGGGCAACTACACGGGCAGCTGCCAGGGCCGCAAGCGGTACGAGGTGCTGCATGGCACGAGTCCGTTGGCGGATTATACGGCGGTGGACGGGTGGACGGCGAATAGTTTCTATGACTTCAATGATGATTAGTCGCTGTTGCCCCCACCGTGGAGATAAAGGTTGATAGGCGGGTGTATATAGGTACCTTACAGGTGTGGAGTGTATTTAGTAGAGGGTGTATATCACATACTTGACACGGATCAATTGCACAAATAGTTGTTCTTGTATGCTGCATCACATCAAGCTTCATGACCTTCATAACATAACTATATCCCCGTCCTCTCGTGTATCAACAATCAACATAAACCTTTCCTGCAATCTCATCACATCAACACCCCCACAATCCCTAATTTCCCCCTTCACTCCCAAGTCTCCCCTGATAGAGAGAGGAGGGGAATCACCACTGACACCAATTCACCTCCAGGCTCACATTCGCCGTCGTCAGGTACGCCCCCTGCGCGGTGTCGTAGCACGGCTCGACGACCTCCTTGAACGCATCCAGGCACTCCTCCATGCCCCCGAACACCCCCGTCTTGGCCACCCGGCCGCGCTCCACGTGGCTGGCGTTGTTGCTGATCCACTTGTCCCAGTCCCCGTAGTTGACGTTCCACCGGTAGTTGCAGTACTGCAGCGACCAGAAGTTCTTGATCGAGAGCTTCGACAGGCAGTTGGTGCCCTCGCTGGTCGGCGCGCCCGAGTAGCAGGTTGTCGTGGCCGTGGCCGTGGAGATGAGAGGGAGGAGGATGGCTGTGAGCTTCATTTTAATCTGTTGGAAGGAGTTAGAGTTGGGGCTTGGTTCTTGAGGGTGGGAGAGAGCCCAGCTGAGGGGATGGAGGGAGACTGACTTGTTGGGAGGTTTTGTTTGGTCAGGGCTTGGGAAGGACGATTGGTTATGGAGTGAAGGGAAGATAGGCTGGGGAATGTGGCCTTTATATACCCCTTTCTTTGGGGTTGTGTTCTATGGACGTTGTGGTGGTTATTGTCGTCGTCTGGATGCAAGGAAGTGGATTCTGCCAGGGACAAAGGCAAAATGCTGAAATGCTGGGATGGATCTTCGTTTTGACTTTGCTCATATCGCTAATGTACGTGCGGTGTATAACTCTAGTAAAGACAAACATATGCATTCTTTGCTCTGCTAAAGTCTATGACCCATGCTAAAATTAAACCCTCCCGAAAAAAAGCGCCGGCCGCAGATATGCATGCATGTGTTAGACACGCACCAACCCTCCCAAACTTGACCTTTGCTACTGTTTCTCCCTCCCTTGCGCATTCTCCCCGCCAACCACCACGTAAAACTCAAGCAAGGAAGAATCAGAAAGCCCACTGCTCCAACCAATTCCCCATCAACTCCCCCGTCACACCCCCCAACCTCGCCATCGTCTCACTCCCCTGCCTCGTCCGCTCCACCGCAATCTCCGCCGACAGCACGCTCCCACTCAGCCCGCGGTAGAAGTCCAGCAGCTTCAGCGCCGGCTTCGCGCGGACCTCCTCCTCGCTGGGCGAGGGGATGCACTCCAGCTCGTGGAGCCAGTCCTCGAAGCTCACCACCTGCACGTGGGGGTATTTGGCCTGGATGGCGGGCACGAGGTCGGCCCAGGCGGTCTTGGTCGGGTTGACGAGGTGGTAGACGCGGTGCGGGGTGTGAGATTGTTCTCCACGGCGGGTGTGCGTGAGTTCGGTGGTGATGGTGGCGAGGGTGTCCTGTATTTTCCGGCCTGTGTTAGCTCTCTATTTCTCTCTTTCTGTGCTTCTTCCGTTCTGTGTCGAGAGATAAAGCAGGGGCAATACTCACAACAGGCACCCAATCGACCGCATACCCGCCCAGATCCCTCGGCACCTTGCCCATGGCCACGCTCGTCTTGACCAGGTTGGGCACCCACTCGTCCACATTCCACTTCCCTTGCCGGGTGGTCGGCCCCCCGATCTGGCCCACCCGGAGCACGGTGGTCGGGATCCCCGCGCGCTGGGCCGCCACCCAGCACAGCCGCTCACTCACGAACTTCGACTCCCCGTAGCCCTGCTCCAGCACCGCGCTCACATCCTCGACCGGCGCCTCGGGCACCACGCTGCCCATCTGCGATGTCCAGCTCCCGATCGTGCTGACGCTGGACACGAACGCCAGGTGTGCGCGGTGCGCACTCGTGTGGCTGAACTGCAAAAACTCGAGCACGCCCCGCAGGTGCGGATCCTCGAACGACTCGAGCGGGTGGTTGAAGTTGACCTTCCACGCGTTGTGGATGATTAGGTCCACGGAGGATAGGAGCGAGGTGTAGGTCGCGTCCGGGAGGCCGAAGTGCGCGGCGCCGAAGGCGACGGTTAAGAATTCCACGCGGTGGGGGTCGGTGAGAAGGGCTGGATCCAGACCCTTGGTGGTGAAGCTCTCGCGTTGGCGGTCCGCGGCCGTGGCGCTGCGGTTGAAGCAGTAGACTTTCGCGATGGCGGGGTTCGTCACCAGACGGTGGAGGAGGTAGGTGCCCAGGGAGCCGGTGGAGCCGGTCAGGATGACGGTGGACTTTTCGGGGAGGGAGGTGGGCAGTGGCTTGTGGGGAGGTAGTTGGGAGGTGTATTTCTCGATCATATTGGCGATGCGCTCGGCGCGGGAGATGGTGGTCGTGCTGGTTTGGCCGTGCACGAGGTCGACCAGATACTGGCCCAGCTGGGCGACGGTCGGGTGGGCGTAGATCTGCTGCTGGTTGATTGCGACGGGGGTGTCGGTGATGCGGTTGGCGACGGCCGTCTGCAGCGTCCGCGCCAGCTGGATTGTCTGGAGTGAGTCCAGCCCGGCGGCGTAGAGGTCCTCGTCGTTCTTCAGGTCGGCGCGGGCGAGCAGCTCGGCGACGAGGCTGCGCACGTACTCGCACAGGTGCGTCAGGTCCAGTGTGTCCGGCAGCTGGGGCACGCCGGCCGCCTCGGCCGCGGCTGCGGCCGCGTAGATGGCCTCGATCTCCTCCGCGTAGTCACTGTTGACGGCGCGACGCTTCGTCGTGCCCTTGGGAGTCACCTGGAACGGCTTCGCGGGCGAGGCCAGTCGGATCTTGTTCTTCGATACCCGACCGTACTTGGGCACCGTCTCGTTGGCCCGCTCCACCGTGGGCCAGATGGCCTCGACGAACGCCTGCTCGTCGGCGACGGGCTGGGTGGGCTCGATCAGCAAGGCTGTCTGGAAGCGGCTCTGGCCGATGACCAGGGCGTGCTTGACGCGCGGGTGGCCCTCGACCGTCTTCTCCAGCGTCACGGGGTTGAGCTTCTCGCCGTTGCTCAGGACGAGGACGTCGTCCTTGCGGCCGTGGTACTTCCACAGGTTGGGCCGCTTGGGGTGCTGCACGAAGAGGTCGTTGGTGTGGTATTCGTTGAGATCGGGGAAGGTGTGGAAGATGCCGTGGATGCGCCGACTGTCGGCGCGCCGGGGGATCACCAGCTCGTACAAGCCATCGCCCTGCGGCTGCAGCTCGACGCCGTACGCCGGGTTCCACTCGAAGTAGCCCCAGACCTTCTCGCCTTGCGGCACAAAGGAGTTGATGAGCCCCATCTCGCTGGATCCGAGCACGGTGATGACCTTGGTGTCTTGCTCGAGCAGATCGCCCACTTCCGGGGAGAGCGGCGCGCCCGCGAAGTAGACGGCGTCCAGAGTGCGGAGGGCAGCGCGCGCGTCCGCGGACTGGCTCATATCCTCCAGGATCGAGGGTGGCAGCAGGCTGGCGGTAGGGTGCGTGGCTTCGATCACGTCGACAATAACGTCCACCGACAAGGGCTTGTCGGGACACATGACGAATGGGATATCGTGGAACAGAGCTTCGGCGAAGGCGAGGAGGCCCATCAGGTGGAACAACGGCGTCGTCGACAGCACCAGCTGTCCCGGTTGGAGATCATGGAACAACGAGGACTGACGGCCTTCAGGGCGAGAGAGATAGGCGCCCATGTCTATGGTTGCGAGAAAGCCGTGGGTGAGCGGCACGGGCTTAGGCATGCCCGTGGTCCCGGAGCTGTGAATGATCATGGCCACCTCATCCTCTGCTTCTTGGTATGTCTTCTCGAAGGGGTAAGGGGAACTTTCGGAATCGAGGAATTCACTCAGAGCGGGGACTTCGAATGTCTGGGTCTCAGGCTGGGCATTTTGGATCTCCGACACGCGGCGCTGCTTGTCAGCAGTGTAGAAGAATTTCTGGCAGTTGGTGACGGTGAGGATGTGCTTGTAGGCGTCGTCCGAAAGACGGGTGGAAGGAAGAAGAGGCTGGTCTGGGTTAGTGCTGGCCTCAGGTGACTGAAAATGGGGGTTGAAGTCTTACCTGATAGCCAGTCTTGTGGGAGGCCAGGATGAAGACCAAGTACCGCACATCGTTCGCGGCCATATACGCGATGGTCTCGGGCTGTTTGGCTCGGCCGATGCGAGCCTCGATCCAGCGAGCGCAGGCATCAACGGCACGGGCGAGGCCCGCAAAGCTCAACTCCTGGTAGCCATTGGACACTTCCGAGCCCTTGGGAATGAGACCAACGAGCTCCGACGGTGATGAGCGCGCGCGGTGGTCGGCGATCGCGAGCCAAAGTCTTGCACCGGGCTGGTCAGACATGAGTAGATTATATCGGGCTGGGCTGGTTGGTTCTGGGATAGATGGATTTGGCACGAAAAAGCAGATCAAGAATTATTAAAAACTTTGGAAAAGACGAAGGCAATGGGACTGAAGCTGTGTGTATAAGATGACCCAGATCTGCGAGGGCGATGAGGGTATTTGTAGGCAACGAGTATGGCCGTGGAGGCCAGGAGGCCATTCTCGAATGATGCCGCCATCCGATAGCAATGGAGCATACTCAACAGAATCTCGACCCAGGCGCAGTTGTGCTCAGTGATCGGCGGTGGAGCCTGACAGGGGGAGACAGTCTCAGGACAGAATGCAGAGACCCCTAGGTACATGCTATCGTCATTCTGCAGGTGTCGATATAGACTTGGACGATAATCGCGCATCAAAATTGGCATCAACGCCACGCCGGCTGATTTCCACGGATGAATCGTGCCCGGACGCGGGCCGGATGCTTGGCCATGGGAAGTCCCTGGTACATCAAATCTAAGCGACGATGATGGCGCGAAGGCAGTACAAGCTTCAAGATGGAAGCATCCTTCGACCAAGTGCCGATTGTCGCAGCCGAGGATCCATGGTGGTGAGTGACGTCAACTTCACCGGACACATCAACACATAACGGTCATGCCAGACAGGCGACAGCCACTGACGCGCATTATCGAGGAGATGGAATGATCGGGAACCCGACCGGGGGCGAGAGTCGGTCGAGACGAGACCGGTCGGAGTGAATCCTTTGCTTGTGGAAAGTTGGCAGAAGGTGAAGATGAAACCAAACAAAAAAGGGAAAACGGGTGTCGGCACGGGAGGCGGTGGAGTTGCAGCATTAAAGTGAGTAATAGTGCAGCCTCATCCGTGCATAGCGGAGGGTCTTGCCGGAGAGGGGATGGTGAGGGCAATGTACGGAAGACCCATTGCGGCCACTCGGCAAATAGGAAATCCTGACTGCAGCGGTAACCGCCTACTAAAATAGTTACTATAACTAAGGCCCCCTCTTCTTTCTTCTTCTTCTCTACCGCCCCCTCCTCCGCTGCCATCCCCTCCAGCCCCCAGGGCCTGTACAACTCAAGTACTTTCTAAGTTAATCTTTAGTTTTTGTACTAACCCCCCCCCCTTCTTTACCCCCTAAAAAAACCTTCTAAATTATATAACCAACTCAGCTGCTTCTTATATTAGGATCTTTAGGATTTTTTAGGGTCGAAGGTATTGTTCTTGGGGTTCTTTATTAGAGACTATCTTTAATTACTCTTATCATTAGGATTATTGGGGTTTATCTTTTGCTTATAATTTTGCCGGCAGATTTCCCTTTTGCTGAGTGGCCGCAATGGTCTTCCGTGGGGCAATGCTTGTTTGGAGGGTTTGAGAGGGAAATCATGCAGAAAGCAGGAATTGGAGAAGAGATAGGAGCATCCTACCGGTTCCAGTTTAGTGCGCAGTTGAATTACC